ACGTCCATCTGCCACAAAGACCAATTCGAGTTAATAGCCAAAGATAAAAGAACACGGACAGTTGGTAACTTAGCTACGGGTGCGAATGTGTCCGTGTAGTCTTCGCCATATGTTTGGGTGAATCCTTTGGCGACTAAGCGGGCTTTATGTCTCTCGATGGTGCCATCACTGCGGTACTTTATTTTGTATACCCACTTGGAGCCAACCACATGTTTGTCTTTCGGAGGGTAAGTGATTTCCCATGTCCCGTTTCTTTCTAGAGCTGCGATTTCTTCAGCCATCGCCTCTTGCCATATTGTATTATCCTTTGCTTCCTCATAAGAATTTGGTTCAATATCCTGTAAAATGGCACTTAAGAAGCACTGTGATTCAGGAGGAAAATCATGTAAAGAAAAATGAGCATAGGATTGAAGATACGCAGGAGAGCGACGTGGTCTTGTTCCGCGGCGAAGATGTGGTTGTGACGTTGAGGAGTCTGCAACGTTATGCATGGGAGAATCTGATGCCGAAAATTCCCCCTGCCCAAGAAGATCGTCGTCACAAGGTTGGTCTTCGATAGGAGTGGACAAGTCGGGTGCATGCATGGGAAGAAGCTCCTGATGTTGTTCCAGAGCATGCATGGGGATTTCCACCGGAGATGGTCCGTCATTGTGTTGTGTGTCTTCGAGCAGAGGAAGACACGGACCTGCGATGTCACTAGAAACAATAGGAGAAGAGGAATCTAATGGAGTTTGAGAGGGAGAAAGAACCTGTTGCCCAATGAAGGGCTCATTTTCATGTGAAACCCATGAAGGACAAGTGTCGGTGGAAGAATTAATATGACGTAGAGATGTAAGTAATCTTCGTATAGAGACATCATAGTCATTGCCTTGTTGTGCAAGATTCTCCAATGCTGCCCAATTCTTTTTGTCAAAGTAACCCAAGTCTTCCACGAATCGAACTTCCCGAGATGTATATGTTCTCCGAGTGGGTGGATGATAACACGTGTATCCCTTTTGGTTAGGAGGGTAACCAATGAAGATGCATTTAACACTTCGGTGGTCGAGTTTATCTCTTTGTCCTGCATCAAGATACACAAAACAAACACATCCAAATGTACGAAGATGTTCAATTGAATCCTTACGATTAAAGAGGAGCTCGAACGGCGACTTATCGGCAAGCACTTGTGTGGGCAATCGGTTAATAAGATAACAAGCGGTTTGAACCGAGAAACTCCAATAATTCTTCGGAACTTGGCGATGAAAGAGTAATGTCCGAGCAACCTCCATCAAATGACGATTCTTGCGTTCCGCGACGCCGTTTTGTTGAGGTGTGTTCGGACATGACTTTTGATGGACAATGCCTTGTTCAAGAAGAAATGTTTTGAAGTTGTTTCCCGTGTACTCGCCACCATTATCTGTACGAAAACACTTTATCTTGCAACCAAATTGGTTAGATATGAGCGCACAAAAGTGTTTGAATGCATCAAAAGCGTCACTTTTTCTTTTTAATAACGTTAACCACGTATGTTTTGTCTTTTCGTCGATAAAGGTTATAAAATATTTGTAATGATCAATAGAAAAATATGGGGCCGTCCAAATATCCGAATGGATTAAATCAAAAGCATTTTCGTAAGCAGTTGTAGAAGATGGAAACACAGATCGACAATGTTTGCCTAGGGTACAAGCATCACAAAAACGAACATCGTTCATAGCGTCGGAGACAAGTAAACGAAGAACTTTGTGATGCGGATGCCCTAGCCTAGCATGCCACACATCGGAGGAAAGGGAAACAAAGCAAGAATGAAAACATGCGTGAAAATCTTCAAGATAGAACAGGTTGCCCCGTCTTATTCCATGACCAAAGATGCGATCCGTCTTAGTATCCTGAAATAAAACACGGTTAGTTTCGAATATAACAACACAATTTGTTTCAGTAAGCAATTTTGGAAGAGAAAGAAGATTTGTTTTAAATTGAGGAACGTAAAATGCAGATATTTCTCTACCAAAAAGGCGAATGTAGCCATGTCCCTCGATGGGAACAGAATGGCCATTTGCAACCGATACGGAACCAAAACTTCGTGTAAGGTTATGAAACCAAGAAGCATCGGAAAACATATGTGAGGTGGCTCCCGAATCAATTACAACAGAAGGGATTAGAGGAGTGTTACCAGAATCCTTGGTGTTTAGGGCCAACAGAAGTTGTTTGAAGCCATGGAGTTCATCATTGCTAAAGGCCACAACATTGTTGGATGCTGTCGGGGTTTGTTCGACTGTCATTGCTGCACCACGTTTGTGTTGTTCTCTGAACCGAGGAGGTTTCATGTGTGGGTTGAGGACCCAACAGCGTTCTTTGGAATGACCCGGACGCTTGCAGTGGTCACAAAAGTAGCATTTCTTCTCTCTTGGTGAAGCCGAAGCAGTTGGTAAAGAAGGAGCAGATTGCGTTCTCTGAGCATAATGAGCCATAGGACCCGGACCATTGAAGAGATTCCTACCTCCTTCTTCACGCTTAATCATCATACAGACTTCATCGAAAGATGGTAAGGTGGTTTGACGCAACATATGATAGACAATATCATTGAAAGAAGGATCAAGAGTTAAAAGGAACGAGAACACCTTGTCTTCCTGTGTGCGAGCCAAAGATTCTTTCAGGTCTGTAGTGGGAGGTCGGATCTCATCGAGTTCTGTCCAGAGAGCACAGAATTCACTTTGGATCTTGTTGATGGGCTGGCCATTTTGTTGCAGATGAAAGATCTTCTTCTTGATCTCGAAGATGCGGCTTATGTTCGACAAATTGCCGTAAACATTTTTGAGAGCATCCCAAAGAGATTTGGCCGAATCCATTGAGATGAAAGACTGAAGAACATTTTCATCCAACGAGGCTTGGAGAATGACGAGAGCTCTTTGATCCGATTGGTACCATTTCGCCTTTGCTTTTACAGCAGCATCGACTTGAACTTGGGCTGCAGTTTCAGCCTGTGTAACCCCGTCAACAGCCACTTCTTGTGGAGGGATTTCAGCAACGAAGTCAGCAAGGACATGATCCCAAAGCCCATTGCTACTGAGGACTGCTTTAGCCGCCTTTGACCAGTAAAAATAATTGTCTCCATGAAGAACAATTGGAATGTTTTTGGATTGGTTTTCCATTGAAGAAAAGTATCGAAGGAAAGACTAAAAAAGGTTGACGAGGGATAAAAATAAGAGACAAATGAAGCAGAGACAAATCAGCAGAAGTGCAGATCGTCTTGCTCTGATACCATGAACAAAACTATAGGATCGAGTGGTGTTTTTGGTTTCTCGGCGTATTACGAGCCGGCAAGACAAGAGTAGGGTTTTTAGAGAAACGATGAGAATAAAAGAAAGAATTCTCTTATTGATAATTAGTATACATACGTAAGCTATACATATATACTATTATACGTCCTTTAGAGAAAAGGAATATGAGTAAATACAAAGACATATAAAAGGAAATGTAATATCTTGTAAGACAAGAAAAGGAAGTTATATGCATGTGCTATCATGGTTTCCTTATTCTCAAACGATCATGCCGTTGTGTTGTCCAAAGAATCTGCAATTCCCGTAATATCATCAACACTACCGACACTTGATAGACAAAAGTCTTGGGGGATTCAACTGGCAAACAGGTGCATCCTCTGTTGCGCAGCTGCTGAAAGTCATGCTCACCTATTTTTCTCTTGTTCATACAGCAAAGAGGTGTGGGCTTATTTCGGTAATAGATACAGCTTTACTCATCCTTTACACCTGCAGATGAATCTTCTACCGACTGCACCTCAAAGTGTTAGGGGTTTTACTACTTCCAAAACTCTGCAGAAGTTGCTTAAGCAACTGATTGTGTACGAGGTATGGCGTGAACGGAATGATAGAACCCACCGAAGCGAGACAAAAACGGCACGACAGTTTACATCATTGATCGACAAATCGATGCGTCAGATTTTGTTTTCCCTCAAGACTACTGCAACTTCGCCCACGAACATGCTACTCAACATTGGTACACTTGAGCTTTGTGATATTAAGTTTGTGTTTCAGTCCTACCGTTGTTTGTACCATTTTGTATGGGAATCTTGCACTCTTTTGTATCTATCTCTTGACAGCTGTAAATAGCCGAGCTTCGGCAAAGGTCTAATATACCACTCACATTTAACAAAAAAAAAAAAAAGATAGACAAAATAAGAAACATGCCATAATAATACTTTCAAAATAAAACAAAAATGGTTGACAAGACCTAAAAGCAAATATTTGTCTACACATGTTTGATGCATTTCAAACCAAATTAGTAAGAGCCTTATATAATTGCATTAATTTGACTTAACAAAGACGATATTTTCTTTCTGAAAAAAAAAACTACAATCCTTAAAATATAAACGCAAAATTTTTTGACAAAAAATATATAAATATTGATCGATAAATATTATTTATTCTAATTCGTATTGTTTGTTTGAGTTATTTAAAAAATATGTCCAAATAATTTTTATATATTATTTTAGTTCTTCCAATTTACATTAACCAAAAAGCTATTTATATCTTTAATATTTAATTTAATTTAATTTTTCAATTTTTATGTTTAATTCAGATGCTATAAAGTTATTTATTTTAAAAATATTCAATATAAAGTTTTTCAATTTTTTATATTAATTCCGATGTTCGTATAATATGGAAAAGATATGCTTCGTAGAATTTTTCTTTTTTCCACTAAACCCCCCAAATATTTCTAATTCCAAAATAAGGAATAAATTTATAACAAAAGGAAAAAGAGATCAGTTCATGAACAGAACCAACTTCCGCAAACAGACAGTACTTGGCGGCGAGAGAGCGCGTGAAAACAGGGAAGCATCACGTGCGCGGAATCTAAATCGACGGTCAGGATTTAACCATCTCCGTACGATCTAACGGTTTACCGTTAACCGGGTCAAATCCCGGTTTAACCTAGCAAGACCCGTAAACCCGACTCGAGTTTGTTTCCTTTTTCGTGTAACGAAGCAGATAAAATCCCTAATTTCTGACCTAGCAATCTTATTGCCCTTAACAGGACCACAAGCCTCAAGTCCTCGAACTGGTAAATTTTCTCCGGGCGAATCGATAAACCAAGCTCTGAGTTTACCGAATCCAGTAATGGCGGATCTGAAGATGCAGTCCGAAGCCTCTGACTCGAACCCGCAGGTTGAGAATCAACGAAAGGAATCTCCGGCGGCGGCGGCGGCGGCGGCGACGGAGGTGAACCACCGGAGAGCATCTCCAGCACCGGCTCCGGCGCAGCAGTGGGTGGCGATGCGGTACCCCCCGGCGGCGGCTGTAATGCCGCATCAGATGATGTTTGCGGCGGCGGCGGCGGCGCCGTACTCGCCTTATCATCAGTATCAGCCTCACCATTATCAATCACGCGGGAACAAGCATTTCAACGGTTCCAATGGTGAGAATAAGACGATCTGGATCGGTGATTTGCATCACTGGATGGATGAGAATTATCTTAACTCTTGCTTCGCTTCCGCTGGCGAGGTTTGTCTCTCTGTCTCTATGTGCATATATGTCCTTGTTTAGTGTTTGTAAGTGTTGTCGGTTGATGTTTCTGTTCATGCTGGTGTTCATAAAGTGGGAAAAATTTGTGTGTGTTTCAATGATCTGTTCTACTGCTACACATGATGAGATTCCCTCTAAAAAGACGCAGTCTTTTTGCTTTCTTAATTAAGGTTGGTTTGAGTGTTGTTGAAAGAGGATACCTTAATTGCCTTTTATGAATTGAGGGAGAAATATTGAATTCAGAAAGGTCAATTGGTTGAACATTGGAGGAAATCTAAAGCTGATATAATTTATGTATCCATCTAATTGAATCTTCAGGATTTGGCATTTTCTATTCACGTATTCTTAGATCACCTGGCTAGATGTAATCTGTTTATCCTCGGAAATTAAGTTTTACTATTACAGAAATACAGAGTTTGTGTGTTCTGTGTTTTGTCTAATAAATGGGCACACATTAATTTTACGCAGATTTCATCAGTTAAGGTTATTCGCAACAAACACACCGGTCTGTCCGAGGGCTATGGATTTGTGGAATTTCTTTCCCACGAAATTGCGGAGAAAGTTTTACAGAACTATAATGGGGTTGCTATGCCAAATGCTGTTGACCAGACTTTCCGTCTGAACTGGGCTAGTTTTAGCACTGGTGAAAAGCGCTTAGAGAGTGGGCCTGATCTATCTATCTTTGTCGGGGACTTAGCACCTGATGTCACCGATAAGTTGTTGCATGAAACCTTCTCTGTGAAATACCCATCTGTTAAGGCTGCAAAAGTTGTCATTGACGTCAATACAGGCCGGTCAAAGGGGTATGGATTTGTGAGGTTTGGAGATGATAATGAGAGGGCCAAAGCTATTACGGAGATGAATGGTGTGAATTGTTCTAACAGAGCTATGCGGATTGGTCCTGCAACTCCTAGGAAGTCAAATGGTTACCAACAAGGTATTCACTTTGGTTCAATACCATTTCTTATAATCTATGTATTTCAAATTAAGTTGAAGTATTTATGATGTCTCATCATAAGGTCAAGCTAGACCGTCTTAAACTTTATTATCTTTCACCAGCGAATGGATAGCGAGGGCCCTTCTTTCTTTATCCGAAGGCCTGGAATTCCTTAGTTGGGATGTTTTCCTTCTTGAAAAAGCGTTAAGGGTTTATGAGAATTCCAATGGTAACATTAAGCCACTTTGAGCACATTGACGTTCTTTTCCTTTTCCTTTTTTTTTTTCCTTTTTTGGAAGGTGGATACACGTTGAATGGTGCCCAGGGTCATCCTGATGGGGACTCATTGAACACGACAGTAATTACTCCTTCATTTTTATTTTTCTTTCGCAATATCGAGACTGTAGAATGTTAATATTTCCTCCGCTAATCCATATTTCCCGTTTTAGATATTTGTTGGAGGACTTGACCCAAATGTCACTGACGAAGATCTGAGACAACCTTTTGCTGACTATGGTGATATAGTCTCAGTAAAGATTCCTACCGGCAAAGGATGTGGATTCGTTCAATTCGTCAACAGGTACATTTTTTTTCTATTCATGCGGCTGACCCCAAATAAACTTGGGATTAAGGCGATGTTGATGTGACACTCACACAACCCTCAGTAATGCTTGTTATTTGTTATTTGCACCGTAACGTAATCATGGATTAAGTCATAACTGATTTAGTATCCAACATGTTTTGTTTTGTCAGAACAAGTGCGGAGGAGGCTTTGGACAAACTAAATGGGGTTGTAATTGGAAAACAAACAGTTCGCCTTTCCTGGGGTCGTAGCCCGGCCAATAAGCAGGTAATCCCGAAACTCTCTCTCACACACACACACACACGTCGAAAAGGTAGGTTTATCCCTTTACATCGGGATGCACAATGGAACTGTCTATATGCATTTCGACCCGAGATCTTTACCGCTCTGATTAAGGAGTACTGTTTCCTCTTGCCAGGTAAGAGGAGAGTTTGGGAACCAATGGGTCGGACCGTACTATGGAGGACAGTATTACAACGGTTACGGGTACATGATACCGCCTCCTCATGACCCGATAATGTACACTGCAGCGCCTTACGGAGCCTATCCTATGTACGGCGGGGATCAGCAACAAGTAAGTTGAGGGAACGGAAAGGAAGGAAGAAAGAAAAGGACAGAGCATAATATATATATATATATATATATATATATATTTGCATATCAACGACCGAACTGAACTCACTCAGGTTAAATAGGGGTCTCTCCTGAGTTGTTATTATTATTATTATTATTACGATTGTTATTTATCTGTGTTGGAATTTTTGATGAAACCGTAGGGGTAAGATTTTTTTTTTAAAAAAAATTAGGGATTTGATTTGATTTATTTAATTTGTTTCCGAGATGATTTACTCTTTTTTCAACTTCAAATTCATTTGGTAGGGACGCTGATTGATGATTGTGTGTCTGTGTTTTTTCTTGATGTATTATATTATTCATTTGGCCTTCGGCTTTAGGGTTTTGGATCAAATCCAAGTTGGTTCGCTTAAAAGAAAAAAAAACTCGTCGAATTCTCTGTCGAAAATGTACAAGTGGAAATTCATAGACATCTAGAACTTCATATAAACCGCTGAATTTTTATTTTATGTATATTTTATTTGAATTTCTTTTTCCTATTTTTACATGTATAATTTTTATTTTTTTATGTTATGTTTGTACTACATACAACTAAAATTTTTATATTACATATCAATTAAACCATTTTAAATCTTATTTGTACATGAACCTGTTTGCAAGATAAGTGAATCGGATTATAACTGAGTATTTCTAGTTTGTTTAAGAAACAAAAATCGGAATGTGTAGAGATTAGAACGACGTTGAACTTCTGACGATTTGACCGAACCAACTTATTTACATCTCTAATCAAATCTAATAATATCAACACATTCAACCTAAAAATATTAACAACAATTTGAAATTAAAAAAAATCTTTTTAAAATATTTTTTAGTGAAAGTAAATATTAACCACATTAAATTAAATCTATGGTTAAATAAACTTAAAAAAATGATTAAAAGTTCAAAATTTTAAAATTAATATGAATTAAAATTTTGCAAAAAATAAATAAAGACAAAATTCTTTCTGTTGTTTGGGCACTAATATACTATCAAGGGCCAAATCCGTGGGCCGAAAAATGAAAGAGGACGTGTGGTGATGAAGGTGGTGATGACATCTCTCCCTTCACTTCATTTTGCTCAACTTTCAAACTCTTCTTTGTAAGATTATGTTTATGAGTTTTGTGTCTCGAAATTAAGGGTAAATACTGGTTAGAGTCGAGGATGATTCGATTCGGGTTTTTCGGTTTTACAAAAATATATATCAATCGGTTATTATATCATATTTGGTACGGCTCTGATTCAGTTCGATTCTGGTTTTTATTAAAAAAAATTAGATTTTTTCAAAAAAAAAAATAGTTTTTCGGGGTTTTTTTTAAAAATTCGGTTCGGTTTCAAGAAATTTGAATTTGTAAAAAAGTTATCATTCAAAAACGATATCGTATTTTTCGATTCGGTATGATTCGATTTTGAAAAATCATACCACCCTACTCAAAATCATAGTGGAAAATTTGATAAAAAAAATCTCTTGATTGCAAAAGGAACATTTTTTTAAAATGAAATAAATAATGGTACTGAAAATACGTATCATCTTTTTTACTCAATTGGAGAAATGATTGAGCTTGGCGTTTCAAAAAGCATCAACATTTTTAGCAGATTTGCAAAAAAGCAACCTGCAAAGTTGCAAACTCCTGTTTTTCTTCTTTTCTTTTTATGACAGTGAATTCAGTAACAAAAATAAAATATATTATATATATATAGTAAAAGATGATCGATTAAAATGAAAAAAGTGGATGTAAATTAATTTACAAATTAAGGAAAAAAAAGGGAAATTAAATAAAGAGAGCTTTTTGTAATCTCTAAAGGACTTTAAAGGCACAGAGGGGACTCACTGACACATTTATTTCATCCCAAAAAAAATGGCTCTTTGCAAATAAAAGCTCTTTTACACAACACAACCTTTTATTCAATTGCTACTTCATTATATATATATATATATATATATGCCCCGTGGCTAATCTACCTTGTCATTTATGTATAAATTAATTCACATGTATACAATTTTAAAAAATATATTATTAAAGATATATACGAATCTCTGATACTTTATCAAGATTTACGTGATAAAATAAAACGTCATATTATTCAATCAACCAAACAACATATAAATATGAACATATATCTGGATAAAATATCAGATTTGATAAAGTACCACATATTCATTCGTATATACCTCTAATAAATATTAAATGAATTGATCTTTAGAATTTAAAATATGAATTATGAATTATGGATGTCCTTACATTTCACATCTAGAACTCAATATATTTTAAATGTTTTTCGTATCTAGAGTTTTTTTTTAATTTAATTATCGGAGGAAAAATCTAAAAAAAAATATTAAACTTTCAAATTTTGACAAAAAAACACTAAATTTTTTTATTTTTATCAAATAAACATAAAACTTTTTAAATTTGACAAAACAAACACTTAACTTTTTTACGATTATCAAAATAAACAAAATAGTTGACATATCACAAGGAGATGCGAACATGTCAGATTATTTTACTTAGTTTTTTTTTATAATCAAAGAAAGTTTATGTATTGTTTTGGATCACCAAAAAAGTTCAGTGTTTTTTTTATAATCGCAGAAAAGTTCATGTATTTTTTAGATTATTTAAAAAATACATTTTTTTTAGATTTATTTAAAAAGTTTAATGTTTATTTGACAAAAAATAAAATATGGTGTTTTTTGTCAAAATTGAAAAGTTCAGTGTTTTTTTTTTTTGGATTTTTACTAAATTTAATTTCGAATCGAGTAACATAATTTACATTTACATCATATATATATTAATGCATGTGGGGTTGGCCTCACTAATACATCATATAATTTGTTCTATCATTTAAATATTTGTGTTCGAATTAATAAATAGACAAAATTGCATTGAAATAAATTCATAACAATCTCTCACTTAAAGCAACGGTCCTATGATATTATCTCCACGAAAATTCTTCTGTTTGCCCTCGTGTAAGATATTTATTCCATGGTCCAATATATTTAGACTTCAATTTTTTAAAAAAAAAAGAGATTTTAATTGAATGAAAATTGAAATAATTTGATAGTTGACTTCATTTGAATAAAAAAGACAATAACCAGAAAAATTAATATTTGAATTCTATAAAGGTCATGAAATATGTAATATCTAGACAACTATACACTGGTGAACATATTCTTTTTTCTTTTATTGATCAGATAACGTAAGAAAAATAAATAAATCTTCTGCTAAATCCAGCACTACATTGTTAAAAAAACGAATTCTTCTATATATTATATAAATGATTGAAATAGGAATAATTACATTAAAATAAATACAATCATTCCAAAGATACTTGTAGTAATGTTCTAATTGTGAAATCACCTCTAGATATTCCTACCTCTCTATTCCGCAATAATTAAATATTTTTGGAATTTATTATCATATTTTATTAATAAAGCATGTTATAATATATTTTTATTAGAAATTTAACCATATGAATGGGGTGTAAAACGAGTTCGTCTCGTAAGTTAGTTTGCGAACCAACCTATATTTTTTTAAGTCGGGATCAAAATATTTGAGTCCAGAAAAAAATATGCCGAACAAACGAATTAGTCGAATTCGTTTGGCGAGCCACCTTGGTGAACCCTGAGTTGGCTCACAAGTCACAAAAAAATATTTTTTTAAAATTTTAAATATTTTATATAAAAATTATATTTTTATTAGATATTTAGTTTGTTTTGTTTAAAAATCTAAATTTTTTATTCTATTTATTTTTTTATTATATTTATATTATTTTAAAATATTTTTAATATTTATTTTTTTTAAATGTTATATATTTGGTTCACGAATCGGTTCGTTTGACTCGCGGACCAAACCGAATTTTTTTTTATAATCAAAGAAAGTTTATGTATTGTTTTGGATCACCAAAAAAGTTCAGTGTTTTTTTTATAATCGCAGAAAAGTTCATGTATTTTTTAGATTATTTAAAAAATACATTTTTTTTAGATTTATTTAAAAAGTTTAATGTTTATTTGACAAAAAATAAAATATGGTGTTTTTTGTCAAAATTGAAAAGTTCAGTGTTTTTTTTTTTTGGATTTTTACTAAATTTAATTTCGAATCGAGTAACATAATTTACATTTACATCATATATATATTAATGCATGTGGGGTTGGCCTCACTAATACATCATATAATTTGTTCTATCATTTAAATATTTGTGTTCGAATTAATAAATAGACAAAATTGCATTGAAATAAATTCATAACAATCTCTCACTTAAAGCAACGGTCCTATGATATTATCTCCACGAAAATTCTTCTGTTTGCCCTCGTGTAAGATATTTATTCCATGGTCCAATATATTTAGACTTCAATTTTTTAAAAAAAAAAGAGATTTTAATTGAATGAAAATTGAAATAATTTGATAGTTGACTTCATTTGAATAAAAAAGACAATAACCAGAAAAATTAATATTTGAATTCTATAAAGGTCATGAAATATGTAATATCTAGACAACTATACACTGGTGAACATATTCTTTTTTCTTTTATTGATCAGATAACGTAAGAAAAATAAATAAATCTTCTGCTAAATCCAGCACTACATTGTTAAAAAAACGAATTCTTCTATATATTATATAAATGATTGAAATAGGAATAATTACATTAAAATAAATACAATCATTCCAAAGATACTTGTAGTAATGTTCTAATTGTGAAATCACCTCTAGATATTCCTACCTCTCTATTCCGCAATAATTAAATATTTTTGGAATTTATTATCATATTTTATTAATAAAGCATGTTATAATATATTTTTATTAGAAATTTAACCATATGAATGGGGTGTAAAACGAGTTCGTCTCGTAAGTTAGTTTGCGAACCAACCTATATTTTTTTAAGTCGGGATCAAAATATTTGAGTCCAGAAAAAAATATGCCGAACAAACGAATTAGTCGAATTCGTTTGGCGAGCCACCTTGGTGAACCCTGAGTTGGCTCACAAGTCACAAAAAAATATTTTTTTAAAATTTTAAATATTTTATATAAAAATTATATTTTTATTAGATATTTAGTTTGTTTTGTTTAAAAATCTAAATTTTTTATTCTATTTATTTTTTTATTATATTTATATTATTTTAAAATATTTTTAATATTTATTTTTTTTAAATGTTATATATTTGGTTCACGAATCGGTTCGTTTGACTCGCGAACTAACGCGAATTGTAACAACCCAAGATTTAA